GGGGGGGGGGGGGGAGAGACGACGAAGCGCTAGCAGGCCGCAGGTATATCGGTTACACGAGTCGTGCTGAGACGACCCATTGGGAAGAAAAGCTCCTTCGTGAGGGGCGCGCTCCGTTCAACGTTAAATGACGGGAGATCGCGGGTGATGCTGGATACTCCCGAGGGTATCGCTTCGCCGTTTCCTCGCTCATGCTGCCGACTCTGCCGCGGACAGGCTTGCGATACATACCTGTCTCCCCCTCCCCCCTGCCGCTCTCCTCGTGTTTCGGAAAGCGCTGAACCCTCCGGCGACGGAGTGGCTCCGGGGGATAACGCGCGCCGATTGAGTGGCACCTGCACGATGACGAAGTCAGTCATCGGACTGACTCTGTCCTCCGGGATAGTCCCGTTTCCGGGCGATCTCACTCTCCTCCCCCCGGTGTAAGGTCGTAAACGCGATGACAACCCGGTGACTGGGGGGGACGCTGTGGTCCCCTTCCCCCCATTTCCTCCGCGTCCGTTTCGGAAGGAACGACGGGACGCCGCGGTGTCACAGGCTTTATTAACGGCGCCGCGAGCTATCATGAGATATGAAATCAATGTTAACCGCGTCGCGCGCGACGTGAGATGTCAAATTAATGGCAATCGCGTTACGCGAGAAACACGAGGCGTAAAATTCCGGGTAAGTGAAACACCGGTGGAATACGAGAATTCCCCGAGAGCGAGAGGGGCACCGCTCTCTCTCTCTCTCTCTCTGTCTCTGTGAGGGACTCCTCGGTTACCGCTTATAACGTCGCGTTAACGTCGATACTGCAAAGTGCAGAATGCGAAATTAACAGCGTATAACCGCTCCGTGAAATATAAAACGTGAGATCGATAACGACATTACTACCACCACCACTACCTCTACTACTACTACCATCACTACTCGGCCGCTAATGAAACACGGTATACAAAATTAACGGCGACTGCGCCACGGCCTGAAATATCTGCTGTTAATCGACATCCTGCGGGGTCGATTCTTCATCCTCGGCCTTATCGGCCACGCGGAGTCACCGGCCGTTATCTCCCCGGTTACTGACGTTTTTCGCGAGGAGGACACGCGGCTGTCGGAGGTTCGGTTGTCGTCGCGTCGCCCACCCTCGGCGCGCACATGTAATACCTGTGTACGTTGTTATACCCGCGGGGAAACTCGCTCCCGTGAAAGGGTGCTGGGGGGGGGNNNGGGGGGGGGGGAGCGTTGGGCGACGGGGAGGACGAGGAGGAAAACGAGCAGGGGGGAGGAAGTGTGAGAGAGAGAGAGAGAGAGAGAGAGAGAGAGAGAGAGAGACGCGGGGAGCAGGTAGCAGCAACGAGCGAGCGGACGCGATACAATGGCGGATTCTCTCTCGGGTAAAGGCGGGCGAGTCGCGTGAGTCAGACTCGAGGTAGGGAGCAACATGTTCGATGCATTCCCCCTTGGTCCCTTATACTATCGGCCGTACACGAAACCGGGAGAGAGCACGAGAAAGGGAGAGAGAGAGAGAGAAGCAAGGAGGAAGAATACGTTTCTTCGGAGTTTCTTCGGAGGTTTCTTCGGAGAGACCAGACGCGCATTTCGTGTCGCAGGACAAAGTGCGTTAATCGGTATCCTAGTCCGATCGTCTTCGAGGGCTTCTCTCGTTCGGTCAACTTATTTCTCAAACATCATCTGATAACGCAGTATTTCTCTTTTTTATTTTTTTTTTGGACGTTGCACCGGATGAAGCTGAGAGAGAGAGAGAGAGAGAGAGAGAGACGGTAATCGTTGGGAATTCTTCGTGACTACACACGTGGCACCTAAACACCCCGCCTCGTCTTTCTCGTAAACTCGTTCTCGTTGACGTCCTTTATCTCGTCTGTCACGGTTCCTTTCTTCCATTCTCTCCTGATCCGTCCGCGCACGCTACGCTGGCGCGAAATAGTCGATCGTACTACGTTCGTTTCCCCCACACGGAATCGGATTCGTGCACGCCTCTCCTCCTCGCGCGGACCGATTTTTCGCGCGAGATCAATTGCTCCTTTCCGTCCGCGAAGTCCCGGCTGATCTTTCGCGATGCACCGTGCGAGTGCTCGTCGATTCCGTGCCGCGGTTACGAACAAATTCGTATCAAACGGGACTTTCTTCATTTTCATATCCTCGTCTTTGCACTTGGCGCGATCTATGTTCCATTTGAAGGTGGGAGAAGTAATCTCGACGGAAAGGATATAAAAAAAAAGCGAGAACAAGATAAAATTATAACGAGATTAGATTACGCGCAGATTTTGATTTTGCCACGATATATATATTTGTTACAACGACTATACACCGATCTCGATCATTTCGAATTAGTCGAAGGTTATTAATTATCAAAAATTCGAGTGCTCGAAATAATGGCGCTTAAGCGATTAGGCTAGAGGCACGCCGAAATTTACGATCCGCTCGAATTGTAATTTCATTCGAGCGAGTATTGTGAGATTGAACCTTCAAGTTTTAACTTAGGAGTCGAATGCACACGGGGAAAAATTAGTCTTGCATAAAGAATAAATATTCTCATGTGTAAGCAAGAATATTATGATCTTCTTGAGAATCTTAGATTTTTAATCCTGAATTGAGTTCAAGTAATATTTGCATCAATATAAATTCAATTAAATCAAACTTAAAAGTCTTCTAAGAAGATTATGATATTCTTGTTTTTTTACATATATGAGAATACCTATTCTTGATTTGAGATCAATTTTTTTTCCGCGTAGAAACGAAAACCCAATATGCATCGGTTTTCATACATGGACGAGCACTGAAGGTGGTTTTAGACGCAGGACAATTTTGAATAGAGGCTCTTTTCAGGTCAGTTTCGAATAAAGAAACGGTCATTTTTCAGACAAAAGCTATTCTATTGGCGAGAAGAAACGCAGGTAAAGACCTTCTCCACGTATAGTTTTTGTCCGAGAAATGGCGTTTCTCCCGAGCTTGGATCGAATAAAGGGAGGGATATGAGGAGCCGTCATCAACGCTATTTAAGCTGCGAAACTAGTGCTTGGATGTCACTGCACGCGAAAAATGTTTCCCAACGTGGCGCGAACGAACGTGATGAACGGCGGCGAAGCACAAAACGCCCCGAAGTCAGCAGTTTTTGAGTTTTCGACTTTTTCGATAAACAATCGTGCTTCGTCGAAAGTTGCGAAAAAGCCTGTTGCGCGAACGTCTTTTTTCCTTCATTCTACAGGTACTCGAGTACTCCTTACGTCGGTCGTAGCACCTGTGCCGGCGGTGATAGTAGCCGGTCTGACTACTAGTCGTCCGTAGTAATCGAAGTGGTCGCACTTGGCCGCAGTTACGCGTGATTTCCGATCCGCTATCGCGAAATCGACCTTGTCTCGTCCCGCGATCACCGCCGTCGCTTCTTGCCTTTTTTTTTTATCTTCCCCATCGTACGTTCCGTTCTTCTATTCGCGACCCGTGACGTTCCTGATTAGACACACTGCTATTAGTTGCCGATTACAGCAGCCGGAGCAGTCCCTCGTGATTCGGTTTCCTCGGCGACGAAAGGAGCAGTCTCGCCGAAATCTTGCGCCTTTGCGATGTTTTTAAGGTAGTCCCTCGGAGACTCGTTCGAAGATATACATTTCAGTCGCTTTAAATACCGGACATATCGTGCATCTCGTTCGGTCGATTCTGTCGGGGCGTTTTTTAAGATGGCCTTCGGGAACCGAGTAAATTATCTCTTCTGCGTCCACCGCAGCGGGATGAGCGGCGGACCCGGCTTGAACCAACACGATTGCCCGTAATATTCCTGCGAGTTGGGCGGCGGCCGAAAATCTCTTGAAAAGAAGCGAACCGGGAAGAATGGGTAGAGACGACGTGTTACATAGAGGGGATGAGGAAAGGACGGGGGGGGGGGGGGGGTGAGGCGTGAGCCGAGAGAGAGAGCTAAAAGCGACGTCTTTCTTTCCAGGACATTCAGTGGAGACGCGAAACAATTAAAGAGGAGACGAGTGTTTGCCTAAATAGAGAATTTTCGGAGGAGGATGCTCGGCAGTTGGGGCTGGGAAGAAGAATTGGAGTTGGGAGAGGGTACGACAGCAGCCCCAGAGTCGCAAGAGAGACAAAGACGAGAGAGCCCCGACTCGACGCATCCTGTCCCCGACAGCCGGGTGCTGAGGTATGCACCCAGCCGGTGTCACCACCCTCCCAGCCACAACTCGCCACATTTCAGCACGCAGCCTCCTCTCGACTGTACGGACTGTGAGTACATATTGTGTATACGCGGTGTGTATCGTTCTCGAGAGAGAGAGAGAGAGAGAGAGAAGTTCCGTCGGTTACCGGCGTTATACCGGGTAGGTAAATCGCTGAAAACTGAAACGTCATTGTTCCCTCCGAATCCTTGAAAAAGATCCGGCGACGCGACGTCGCCACGGTTATACCACAGTGACCGGTCCAGATATCGTGTCCGATGACGTTCTGTCTTCTCCTTAGTTTCGGACACGCTCTCGACGATATCGGAAGTCGTCCTCCCGCGCATAGTGCTTGCTGCTTGCTCACAACTTGCATTCAGGCGCTCGTTGGATCCTCTCTCATTATTGTGCGTCGATTTTCTGCCGGAGAGTGAGGGTTTTTACTATATATATTGTGTTTTATCAGTGCGTTATCAGTTTTCACATAATGATATCATTATTAAAGAGCGTCCATTGATTATATACTTTAGAACAAAAGCGATACAAGTGAACAAAGTTTAAGTGCGAGCAAATATTGTCAGTTCGAAAGGAGAAACGGTAGATAAAGATAATTTTACATAATTGTATCTGTAAGTAGGTCAGAACGAATAATACCACAACGTCAAGATCGGTTTTTCGAGAAAAAAAAAAGAAGAGGAAGAGAGCCGCTATATCTCTAATTCTAAAGATTACTACGTATTCTACTCCTACGACGTTTCTTTTTATCTCTCTTATCACTTGTTTTCTAAATCCTCCCGATCATCGCTCCCTCTAAATATATATCCGTCTCTACGTTGTTCATTGTGACACGAGCGAGATCTCTTTGTGACACATGACGATGCATTTGATCAATGATAAGCGCAATATTAATGAAAGGAGAAGAGAGAGAAAGAGAGACAATATATACGTAAACTTGCAGAGCAGCGTGAGGTGGCCAAAATGCTGACTGCTCACACTGAGATGCACGACAAGCGAGATAGCCTCGGCGGCGGGCAATATGGGACAGGCGGGGGTGGTGGCGCTTCGATTGAGGAGAAATCTATTCCGAAACAACCACCCCCGCCACCCGCACCACCGCAACGAGACCCGTCGGATCCGACTATCAGCGCTAAGAAGCTTCCAAAGAAACGAAAGTTCGATCCATCCGAGCTCGAGGAGATGGACAAGACCAGCAACATCACCAGCAACATCAACAACATGGTGAACATACGCGCGTCGGCCATGACGCTCGGCCAGCCGACTTTGGGTCCGCAATCGAGCTTACTAACCACCACCCGACAGTCACCGCAGCAGCAAGAGTCCGATTGTTATCAGGTAACTTTGATAAGTACGCTCTCATATCGATATTTTAATATTTGTATAGGCGAAGATGGCCTTTTAAACAATCGCGAATCATGAATATTGTACAAAAAACTCACAGGTGCTATATATGTGATTGCAAAAAAAATATATGTATATATATATATATTTTTTTTATATATAAATTAATTCGGTGCTTTTGTTATCAAAAGCAAGATTTATTTATTAGTGGAAAAAGTGTACCATTTTAAATATCGAAATAATCTCCCCGTTTGTTCATAATCTTTGCTTTAAGACGTAAGCAAATTGGCCAACCACGCTCGTTTATTAGAAGAATGATCGACCTTGATTGGTCAATTTGCTTACTGCTTACGTCTTAAAGAAAGGTTGTGGACAAGGAGCCCGTTATTATCCATAATTTTACGTCATCTATCGGGCAGCTGTCGCGAATTACGTCGCGATAAAAGGCTGGTGATTTTGAACCAGTTAAGTCATTGATCGATTTTCGAACGTGCTCTCTTATTTTGAAACGTATATTGTTGAGTGAATAGATGTTACAACGACCGAAATAGGTGAAAATCGGAAGATACGTATGATCTGAAGAATAAGCTGGATGTGATACAATTTCCGGCCTGTATTAAAAATGGAATCTTTCTTTTGTTGTGTAAAGTCGAGTGTTGTCATAGAGCACACTTTCTTGAAATCTCAAAATTTCTGGTATTATTTTTACTTGTATCACTCACTGCGCCTTCGTCAACAAGTCGGACAAATAATTTTTGTGGGCTCAACAACATTTTATTTTACAGTTGATATGGGAAAAGGATACAACAACAATGTATACATGTTTTATCGATACTGCTCGATTATTATTTTCTGAAGTTATTAATCATTCTGTGACGTTACGTGGTGTTTCATAATCATAGATGACAGCTCTTTACAACAATTGAGCAGAGAAATATTTAGTTTCAAAATGTTTATTACATAGAGGAAAAGATTTCTCTGGGTTTAATGAAATTTCCTTAATTGAAAAAAATATATTAAATTGTTTATATACCTTTTGGAAAATTTATCTTTAGAAATTTATCTTTAGAAATTTATCTTTTGGAAAAGTTTTTTTTAGAAATTTATCTTTAGAAATGTATCTTTTGGAGCAAATAAACGGGTGTTTGTTTAGTTTTTCAAACAATATATATCTTTACTTCAAATAACATATTTCTTTCATATTTTCATCCGAATTGGAATTTTATTCCAATAGTTGTCACAAGTCATAAATTATTTGAAAGAATAACACCGTGTATACAAAAATATTAAAGAACTCCTTTTTTTAGTGTGACAAGATTTAATATATAATGAACTAAATTTTCTCATTGAAAAATATTTCCTCGAAATAACTGTTTTCACTGTTAAGCAACATTAGTAGTTCAGTCCTAGCGAAACAACATTTTCTTGCAAACAAAATGATATTCGATAGTAAATTACATTGCTTAGATTGAACAAACACGTATCCGAACTAAATCCAAAGGAACCTTTTATCTTTTGTATAGAAATAAATAAAATTCTAGGCACCGAATTAACTTACGCACATCTGATATGAATATATGTTGTCGAATATATCAGAATTGTTTGACAAATTCTTACGAATTCCTACCTTCACTTGATGCGTTTAGGTGTCCTCAGCCCATTCGGTAGTGGTGTTACCTCCTCAGAGCACAGCGGTGGATTACTCTCTTCGCGAGGAACCTTTACGTTCCCGTCCTCGGCCTGCAACCATTGTTATTGATCTCAGTGAGTGGCGCGACCACCGAGTGTTAGCTTTAAGGGATTCATGTTATTATCCGGGTGTGATACGTAACGTCGGGGATACTCACGGGGAGATCCTCATTGAGTTCGACGACAAGAGGAAGCAAGTGTACAGTGACGTTCTCGGGGCGGGGAGATACGACGTGATAGGTGACGCGAGCCCGTCCCTGGGACAGGTGACGCTGGACGCGAGGGTTTGCGTCAGGCAAACGGTCATGCATACGATCGCGAACAGTCACGTGGACGCAGGCAACGTAGTGGTGGACGCGGGCCACGTGGACCCGAGCCACGTAGACGCGGCGAAGGTGTTTGTTAAGGGGACAGTGTGCAAGATATTAACGAAGCCTTATCGTTTTGTTGTGAAAGTACCGCGGGAGGACGATCAGAGTGATAGTTACCTTGTGAAGCGTGCGGACCTGCGGCTAGTGCAGCCACTATGGGCGGACGAGTTGGAGGAGGGGCTGGAGGAATGCGATCCTTCGAGGGTCGAGGCCATTGGTAATATATTCTCACTTACATTATCGAGCAGGCTCGTTTAATTTACACCCTCGAAATTTGCCGTTTTCTTTCTTTTTTCCTCTCTCGTCTCTCTCTCTCTCTCTCCACCAGAACACGGGTATCGCAATGCCGCCGCGGAAGCTCCGACAGCAGTGCCAATTTTGCAAATCCATCATACTCCTCATCACGCATCGCATATATCGTCTCATAACGACACGAGCTACTATAGAACTACCGGCACCAGTCCTCTCATGACATGCACTCCGGCGCATTCTGCCAGTACTGCGTTAAGTAACGGCAGCCGACCGTACGACGATTTAGAAAGCGAGGACGACTTAGACAGGGAAGATATTACGTTTCCTTCGGACGCAGGTTAGACATATCAGGCAGCGATGTATAATTCGCTTTCTTTCGTACACGATGTGTGTGTATATATATATATATATA